TTTTATTATCATTGTTTCATCATGGCCTCACAGGCAATGTAGTATCAAACCTGATGTTTGCTGATCTAGTAAGTGACATAAATTACATTGAAGGTCAATCTGAATTTCTCTCAGAGCAAGGGTAAGCATTTTGTTTCAAGAGCAGTTTGTATTTCCTTTTCTATAAAGTATTTGCCCATTGCCCTATTGGCTTGTTGATTTCTTGTAAGCTTTATAATCTCTGTAATTAATGAGTTCCAGACATTTTTCCTAGTTTGTCCTTTGTTGTTTTTGGTGTGCTCTGTCATACAGAACTTTTTTTTTTCTTACGTAGTTTAATTTTTAATGCTTCTGTATTCTAAATCATAGCTAAAAATGACATTCCCATGCAAAGGAATGTCCCCATGTCTAATTTGTATACCTACTGTGGTTTCATTACTTTTCTGTGGAAAGTTCTGATCTTGTGCAGTTGATCCTGGTATAAATTCCACTTTACTTTTTACCAGATGGCTCCCCATTGTCCTACTACCAGTTTTTGAAGAGTCCATATTTTCCCCCATTGATTTGTGGTACCACCTTTGTCATAGACCACATTCATATGTTTACTTTTCTTCTGCTTTTTTGGTTTATCTGCTTGTGTGCCACCATCACTGTTGTACATGTTGGCACTTTATACTTTGTGTAAATACAAATAGGGCTGGTAAGCCCCACACTGCTCTTCTTTTGTCAAGCTTTTCAGTGACTACCATTGATCATCATTTCCTTGTGAACTTGAGAATCTGTTTCACCTTGTTCCAGGATAATAATAGTAAGAACAATAACATTTGTTGTCTATTTTTATATTAAAAAGAAAAGTCTTGAAGTCCTAGGCTGTGTATTAGTCAGGTGCTTCCTCAGAAAGACTGGTCATTCACCAGGCATACACTTGTATGTGCACTTGTGTATCTGCCATTAGCATATAAGCCTCAGGAGTAGGAAAGAGCTTATCATTCCATGCCAGTTCTTAATTACCATGTAGGAATTTGGTAAATTAAAGACGGAAACAAAAACTGGTAACTTTTTAATTATTTGTATAAATTATTTTTATCATTTACATTGCTGACTGTAATAGGATTTAACATAATTGTGACCACTTTTAGTCACTATATAAAGGAAGTCAATTATTATTTATGTTTAGCTTTTCACATTACTGTTTCAATTTTTACTGCACTTCAAAGACTCCCTTAAGTGGAGTTTCACATTTCTTGAACATTCTACATTGTTGGGAGGCAAAGCTGAAGCCCTATGAGGCTTAAAAATGGTGGAATGTGATAGATTACCTCCAGCTAACAGATTGATTTTAAGGGCTTTTATGCCCACCTTCAGTAGTAAATCCTGTTCCCAGAGTGAATACTACTTTGCTGGAGAATCAGTCATTGGCCACTTTAAAGTGCCTAAAGTTTTTGGCTAGTATTAAAATTTTCTTGAGGTATAACCATTTTGACATTAATCATGGTGTTGATATATTTAAAGAATGCCTATAAACTGCTAGAACTTATCATATATTTTACCCAGATATAAGACAGGAGCCTTTCCTATTGTGCCAGGAAGCTAAACGGGAATCTTAAAATTTGAGGATGTTGAGATGTCTTAAATTTTGGCAGTTGCTCTGTAACGCTAGCTAATCTTTACTGGTATACATCTCTTCGGTGTGTCTAATTGACTGTGTAACACACATCACAAATAATAAGGATGTATTTTGCATCTGTCAGGATGCTCCAGATAAAGAATTTATAGAGGTCTTCTCACTTTGAAAGTAAGCTAGCAGAGAACTGTAGCTTGCCTCACGGGCATGGTGGCAGAGTGAATGTCTGACCCAGTACATTGCTCTCAATATGCTAGTATGCCACATTTTATTTCAGCTTCTTTTCCTTGACACAGGTGCCAAATGAAATTATACTTTTGTACTACACTTTGTATTACAGAAGTGACTGTTGTGATATGTGAAGTATATTTTAATAACTGAATGAGGAATGTGTCAGTCAGCCAAACGAACTTTCAGTTGGGTCTTTGTCATTTTGTAATTCAAAGAATGTATAACTTAGTAAGCCTTTTCCCTCTAAATTATAAGCTCCATCACTGGCATAGCCTAAATGTATAAAAATAATTAGCCTGACACATTAGGCACCGTATTAGTCTGGTTTCACGCTGCAAATAAAGACATACTCTAGACTGGGTAATTGATAAAAGAGTTTTATTTGACTCACAGTTCAGCATTGTTAGGGAAGCATCAGGATACTTACCATCACAGCAGAAGGGGAAGCAAACATGTTCTTAACATGATAGCAGGAAGGAGAAGTACCAAGCAAAAGGGGAAAAGCCTAAAACCATCAGATATCATGAGAATTCACTATCATGAGAAAAACTGTCCCCATGATTCAGTTACCTCCCACCAGATCCCTCCCACAACATGTGGGGATTTCACGAACTACATTAAATTAAAGATGAGATTTGGTTGGGGACAAGCCAAACTGTGTCAGGCACTCACAGTATTGTTGAACGAATAATCGTTAATCAGCCTCCCTGTATAGAAATCTTAGCTCCTTCCTTTTTACTGACTGTGTGACCTTGGGCAAGTTATACCATCCTTTTGTGCCTCGGTTTCCTTATCTTTAGAATGGAGATAATCTACTCACCTTATAGTATTCTTAAAAGAAATGTGAAGTTCTTGGCATAATACTAATGGTTGCCACTGCTGTTCCTGAATATTCAGAGCTAGTTGATGTGCTGTTGGTAGGATTTTTTAAAATTCTGTAATTGGATTGTGACAATAATCTTACCATTTGGTCTTAAAAGTGAAGGGCAACTTATTGGAGAGTACCTGAAGGGTCTCATGGTCTGTTTTCTCAGGCTTTAACTACTACCAGAACACATAGTCGGAGGCCATCTCAGATAATCTTTGGCAGGGGTCCCCAAATCCTGGGCCATGGACCAGCACTGGTCTGTGGCCTGTTAGATGCTGGGTCGCACATCAGGAGGTGAGCGGTGAATGAGCAAGTGAAGCTGAGCTCTGCCTCTTACCAGATCAGTGGTGGCACAGATTCTCATACGATTGTGAACCCAATTGTGAACTGCGCATATCAGGGATCTAGATTGTATGCTTCTTATGAGAATGTAATGATAAATATAATGCATTGGAATCATTCCAGAACCATCCTCCAGCCCATCTTTTGAAAAATTGTTTTCCACAAGACTGGTCCCTGGTGCCAAAAAGGTTGGGGACTATTGATCTCTGTGTAGTCTCAAATACAAGGATTATATTAAGCCATAAAGGTTTCTCATTAAGGAATTCTTTATTTTGAGCTATAGCTCATGTTTTAGAACGAGTCTGTCCTCTTCTCTGTTGCAACTCCTAAAATATTTGAAAACAAGTATGGCCACTTGAAAGACAGCTCTAAACTGAACATCCCCGGTAACAAGACATTCCCTTTGATAATTAAAGTTCCCATATTTGAACATTGTGGACTAGAATAACACTGTCTCTAAGATTCTAGTCTTCTATTAAAACCACAGTTACTTTTGCACCAAACTAACATAGCTAGAATAGGGTTAGGGTGGTAGGGAAGTAGAGGGTGAGTAATGTAGCACATTGTACAGTTGCATAGCACAATTCCAGCTATCAGCTCAGTCCCGATTCCCTTTCATGTGAGCTGTGTACCCATATTTCCTGCAGATTATACTCCTGTACTTGCAAGATCAAATGACTAGGTATGAAACATACCTAGGGTAAGTATTACTCAGCATATGAAATATACCTAGTCATTTGATCTTGGAGGTGCAGGAGTAGGGTCTTCCTCTTGTGTTAAATATTACCTTGTTTTTTTTTTGTTCTGGTCTGTTAAATGTCCCTTTTGATCTACTTTACTCCTTTTCTCTCTCACTTTCATGTGTCATGTCATATGTCAATTAACATTTACAGTGAAATTACTAAGATTTGTACATATGCAGGTTTTGTTTTTTGAGAAAAATGTGGTAATTCTTTATATTTGATCACTTGTAGAGCATTCCTTGGTATAAACATATTCTAATGTATTTCACTCTATTTCTGATTGATATTTAGGTTGTTTCCAATTTGTTGATATTAGCAGCACTGCTGCAGTACATCCCTTCAGCAATGTGGGAATGTACTATAGACCACTTGCTTCTCTTTCAAAAATTTTGTGGTTATTTTTGCAGTTATTTTTCCCAAATGAACTTTAAATTAATTTAAAAATTCCAGTCTATTTTTGTAGTTATTTTCCTAAATGAACTTTAATTTAAAAATTCCAGTCTCACTGCTATTGCACTAAATACATAATTTGAGGACTGACATCTTAACAACATTGGGTCTCCCTCTCAAATACTGAAACTCTATTGGAATCAAGTACGATTCACATTTTTAAATGGATTTAGGAATGACTCTATGTGGATTTCATTTACGGTTGAAGGTGTTATATAATGGGTTTCCCCTTTCCTTGAGTTTTATTTAGTGGAGAACTTCATATAAAGTCTCACGTATATGAATGGTTCATCTCTCTTGGGATTCTATCACTTATTATGTTTGCCCTTATACTGATTGAGTTGAGACTCATTTAAAGTTTTTATACAAAGAGTTTGGATAATATTTTGAGGTTTTCACTTCAGATACTGGAAAAGTAATTGCTAGTATGAGGTCAACTAACATGGACATAATAGAAGTATGGTGTTTGTTATTCTTCACATTTATCTTTTCTAAGTTGTCTTCAGCATTGAAATTTTAATATTTGACCTTTTTAGATAGGAATCAAGATTCTAGTTAAAATACATATTTGAAGCATGATTTTATACTTCATAGTCATGTTATGGGCTATCTAAAAAAAATGTTTTATCTTTTTAAAATTAGATGTTTTCCTAGGCCAGAATCATTTCTTAGATGTTGCTCATTCCACCATTAGAATCTTCTCTATAATGTGTAACCTTATAGATAGGTTATTCAGTGCCTTTTTGTTTTATTTTGTTTTCAGAGAAAGTTTCATTGTGCAAATCTAACTTCATGGCCTCGCTGGCTGTATTCCTTATATGATGCTGTAAGTAACTTACCTTAAATTTACTTTATCTATGGTTGGCCACGTCATACTTAATGGTAATTAAACAACAAAGGTTTTCCTACTTGTTGCTATTTTATTTTCAGAACTAATGCCATTTGTACATTTAAAGTAAACAGGCAGCAGTCAGCGATACTGCTGGATAGGTTTATTTATAGAATTTTTAGTTTTTCCAGTTTCTAGTGCCTTTTAAGAACAAGATACTGTAGGGTGATTCACACCTGTAATCCACTTTGGGAGGCCAAGGCAGATGGATTGCTTGAGGCCAGGCATTCAAGACCAGCCTGGGCAACATGGCATAACCCAGTCTCTCAAAATATGAAAATTACCCAGGTATGGTGGCATGTGGCTATAGTCCCAGATACTTGAGAGGCTGAGCTGTGGTAACTGATTGAGCCTGGGAGGTCGAGGCTGCAGAGAACTGAGATTGTGCCACTGTACTCCAGCCTGGACAACAGAGCAAGACTCTGTCTCAAAACAAAAACAAAAAGTATCATAAGACTCTAGAGTTTTATTAAGCGCTTGAAGTCTTGTTGGGTTGGGTGATACTTCCTTTTAGAACATTACAGCATCCTTATATAACATTTTTGGTTTTTCTCTAAACAAGTACGTTAACTTGCATCTCTTGATCAGTAATCTATTAATGCATCCATGAGGGTTTGTACTCCTCAGAGTTTGACACTAGGCATTGCCACGTTTTGCAAATGTTAAGTAAGGGACCGTGCTGAAATAGTTTAAGAATCTGGGTTTCAGAGCAGAGACTGACCTCAGAGTCTCATTTCTGTCACTTACTCTCTGGGTCTGGAGCAAATTACATCTCCAAGGACCGATAAAATGGATATAATGGTAGCTATTGTACTTGGTGTGCATAGTGGGCATTCAGTAAATGCTAATTATTTCCCTTAATGAATCACTGCCCACAGATCTGGAGTCCTGGGAAAACTCAACACCATGCATGATACTAAAGGAAACGGCAATTGATCTCTGCTATTTGGCAGCTTTTAAGCCTTACAAAGACACACTATACAAGAATATTTTTGCATATGCTTGTGAAAATTATGTAGTAAATAGGTGCCAAGTAAGGTATGTGGATAGTAAGTGCTAGTGCAATTTGTAGGTGCCATAATCCCTATGCATTGAGTCAGGAATGGCCTAATAGAAAGCAGAAGGCGAGTTCCAAGCAGGGGCATAGAACAGAGCAATCCACAAGGGAGTTGGGAGCATATACCCCTGGGATAAGACAGTGAGAGAAGGCTGGAAGGCAGACTTAGTGCTGGGCAAAGGAGCTGGAGTTTGATCATTTCTGCATACGAAAATGGAGACATTTAAATTAGGACTGAGATTTCACCACAGTGATTAAATTGCTACCAATATGTTAGTTTTATTTAAATTTTACTAAGTCTGTGAACTTGATTTTGGCTACCTTTATTTTAAACCAGGAAACCTTAATGGACAGAATCAAGAAACAGCTACGTGAATGGGATGAAAATCTAAAAGATGATTCTCTTCCTTCAAATCCAATAGGTATGAAAAGTTAAGTTTCCTGGCTGCAGCCTGAATGTCTTGCTATAAAAAATAGCTTTCTAATGGATTAAATCATATATTTTAGTTTTTAAGACTGATTAAAAACATTTTAATTCTGAAAAGCATGATTTCCCTTGACCAGTTGAAAAAAAATGAGTATTTCCAAAATTGTAATAAAATCCTTATATTCTGTGAGCACTCCAATTTTAGATAAGTTTTCCATAAAAAGTTCAAATTGCAGTAAGTTGCTGTCACCCAGAAATACTTCCCGAGTATAAGGACTCCTCTCCCTGTTCTTTAAGGTACTTTTAAAAGAAGTGACTATAGTTGCAGGACCTACCTTAGTTACATATACTCTGTTTATAAGGTATAGTTTAATTATTTTTCTAGTCTCTTGGCAAGTAAGCAACTTCTAACATGTATTCAAGTTCATGTCTAACACAAAAGGATTTTACCAAAAAAAAGTATTGGAAAATAATTTAAATTTAGAGCTTCTGAAAAGTATATCTTTGATAGTTGGTATATTTTAGTACTGTTTATAATATAAAATGTATAACTTTATAGAGAAGGATTTAATTGAAAAGGACATTATCCAATTTCTAAGTAATCTGATGCTTATCTGACTCATAAGTTTAAAACTTGAAAAACTATGTCTTTAAGATTTTTCTTACAGAGTAGCTGCTTGTCTTCCTATTGATGATGTATTGAGAATTCAGCTCCTTAAAATTGGCAGTGCTATCCAGCGACTTCGCTGTGAATTAGACATTATGAATAAAGTGAGTAAAGTGAATATGTTTTTGATGCCCATGTTTAGTCAGGCTGGAGAACTAAGATGCTCTGTTGGGACCACTGGAGCTATAAAAGTCCAGTAATGTAGTCATGCAATTTGGCTCTTACAGATAAACTCAGATTGTTTTGTGCCGTCAAATATGAATACATTTATCAACTTAGTGAAAAATACTTGATTTCTACAGAGAAATACCTGAGGTTATGTATCACTATTCCTTTACCCTAGAAAGTTATTTACTTTTATATGTAAGTACGTGGCAGATCTCAGTTTCAGTGCTTTTCTTCCTACATTTTTAAAACTAAGCTTTTCAATGGTTGGACGGAGAATGATATTCAGAGACAGCAGTATCTTTAGAAACTTCTTGGTCTATCTGATTACATGATAAAATGAATGCCAGTTTTTCCCAACAGTAATTTTTCTCTCAAAACTTTTAGTGCACCTCCCTTTGCTGTAAACAATGTCAAGAAACAGAAATAACAACGAAAAATGAAATATTCAGGTAAGGTCTTTATTACATTTTTAGTATACTAGCCTTACCAGAATTATAATCAAGACTGTATTTCTGTTTTCCATATACATTCCTCCAATACTTTAAAGTTACAAATGCTCAGCCAGTGAAATATAGGGAATTAGCTCACTTTCAGTAAGATCGTCTTCCAGATTGGGTACTCAGAGCAACAATGCATGTCAGGGATTACTCACAGGTAATGAGCATGGTAAAGTAAAACAACTGAGCAATTCTTTTTCGCCCAATTCTTGTTGACAACCTATATATAAGACTATCTTAGAAATATGCATATTAGTTGTCTTCTATTAGGCCCTAACATAGATGCCTCAGAAAATGTTTCAGTAATCAGTTTTGCCATACAGAGTCAAAGTAGAACATGATTCTGAACATTTACTGATGCTGTGATATAACAGTGTTTGAAAATCATTTTATGACAGATTCTCAGAATTACAAATCAAAGTAAGGAAACTGCTTTCTACACAATAGTCAATTGCCCCAAAATGACCACACAGGACCTTTTCATTGCCTTTACACTCTCAGACTCCTTTAGAAGCATTTGAGTTTTGTATTCTTGACAATGTCTGTCTTAGGGAGGGTTTTAAAAACAAGTACTATTTCCTTTGTGTCATCACAGAAAACGTTTAGACTGAACAAAACAGGTCTGCCAGCTATATCCCCTACCCCCTGTTTTTGTACTAAGATCCTGCTATTATGTAAAACTAAAATTCATACCTAATTTCTTGGTGAATTTCAAGAAAATTCTAACCATTTAATAGGATTAGACTTCTCATTTTGACCTGTCCTCCATGTTCTTTCTTTGTTTTAGTTTATCCTTATGTGGGCCGATGGCAGCTTATGTGAATCCTCATGGATATGTGCATGAGACACTTACTGTGTATAAGGCTTGCAACTTGAATCTGATAGGCCGGCCTTCTACGGAACACAGCTGGTTTCCTGGGTAATAATATGGTGGTGGTGTTTTTTGTTTTTTACCTTAATTGGGTAGAAAAACCCAGAATCCTAAGCAGACTTGCTATACTCTTTGTAATAACAAGTAGACAATGAAATCAGTAATTTTATACAAAAATTAGCCAGGTGTGGTGACAGATGCCTATCATCCCAGCTACTCAGGAGGCTGAGCACAAGAACTGCATGAACCCAGGAGGCAGAAGTTGCAATGAGCCGAGATTGTGCCACTGCACTCCAGCCTGGGTGACAGAGTGAGATAAAATTTAATTTAAATGTTCTTCATTCCACAAATAGCTAGAAACACCTGTTACACTTTTTTTTGTATTTTTATATAGTATCACTGAATAAAAGTTATTTCTATTAGTGAAGGGAAAGGTTGGCAACAGCAGTTGTCCTCAAATTACACTTAAATTCAAATCTTTTTTTCTGTCATGTCATCCTGAAAATCAACTGTCTTATGATGCAGTAAAACGTTACATCTGGATCATATTCTGTAGTAATGTCAAACTGGAGAATATTAGACTAAAGATGCAGAACCCATTGAATCCTGCTTTTCTTCTAGTTTACCTTTTTTTTTTTTTGCTTCACCTTAATGATTTTGAAGTATGATCCTGGGAACCTGTTCCATTCTCTCAGCTATACTATTTATCTTCAAAGAGGGATGCTAAGTAGGGATTACTTGCTACTCTGGAGTTAGGACCATATCACTTGGATTGCCTTATCTAGCTTAATGTGATGACTAAAACTAGAATAAATTTGTCACTATAAATAGATGTGGCGTACTATATGTAGGGACAAAATAAGAATAGAAATGCCATGTTTTATATTTCTGGTTGCTTTATCTGACATCATCCTTATTTTAGAATAGTAGTTTTCAAATATTTTATGAGACATGTCCTTCCTGCTCCATCCAGACAGAAGTACATATTTCTGCAGGTGGTTGCTCTTTTCTAACTTCAACAAAAGAGAAGCCAGTACAATTTAGAATGTAATCTTGGCAGCCAGCAATTTGTATAAAGATAAGATTACTCTACATTTTTCCTCCACTCCACAGAAGTAAACATAGCTTAAGAGCATAAAAGTCATATATATATTACAAAATTATATGTTAAGACCGATGTATTACCATAGAATATATCCAAATTAGATATTATGATATTTCAGGGAACTGTATGGATCAAATCTCAACTTAGAATTTGTCTCTAAGGTCTGTCTTCATAATAGGTTTTATAGGATTGGAGTTAAAGAAGTGTTTGTTTCCTTAGCTTGATACTTTTCCTTAATTTTTTTAGGTATGCCTGGACTGTTGCCCAGTGTAAGATCTGTGCAAGCCATATTGGATGGAAGTTTACAGCCACCAAAAAAGACATGTCACCTCAAAAATTTTGGGGCTTAACGCGATCTGCTCTGTTGCCTACAATCCCAGACACGGAAGATGAAATAAGTCCAGACAAAGTAATACTTTGCTTGTAAACAGATGTGCTAGAGATAAATTTATCTAACAAATTTGTTATTCTAAAATCAGATCTGCTTTGGAAATTATTGCCTCTGATACATACTTAAGTAAACACAACATTACTTGGACAGTTGCAGTTTTTGAAACTTAAAGTATACTTTTGGAGAGGATGAACAGCAGCCTAGAATACAAACTTAGTTTCAGAAATATCTACTTGGGTAGCTTGGTGCCATTATCCTGTGGAATCTGGTATGTCTGTAGCATGTCATTGTTGGGACATAAAGACACCTTTAGAAATAATGAGATTACTTCCTGTATAGAACATCATAAATTCCTACAATCAGTTGATCCTGATGTATGGGACAGCATAGCTATACCAGTGCTCTGACAACTACATGTTCCTTTTCAAAAGAGGCAAGGCAATGTATATTAGTCTAAAAGGGCTTTGTTCAGTTTTCTTTAGTTTCTCTGAGATACTGATTTGTAAAATCTAATTTTAACTCTAATTTGAAAATATTAGAGTTAAAGTATACAGTTTTGAGCTCACAAATAGCATTGTCATTTCCCTTATGTGCCTGTTAGTAAAAAATAGTATTTTCTGTGTATTTGCTCAGTAGTTGAACTATAAGCCCATTTATTCTGTTCCAAACAAAAACTATTTTTCAAAAATTAATTTGAACCAAAACTACCATACGGAAAAGATGCCAAAACATGTCCCCTTCACACAGGCTAGACATGGTACTGTATTTTGTTCAACGTAAGTTGGAGAAAATCTAAGTAAACCTTAAACATGAAACTAAGTATGTTCTTTGTTCAAATAATGTAAACTATCTACTCATAATTTTAAAGTCCTAAAAAGACTGCTTTGCCATGGACCTCTTTGCTTATATATTCAAGGGTTTAGTGGGTCCTTTCACATTTGTGTAACAATTTTGGTTTTATTGATAGTCCTTTGCTACTTTAAAACTAATCAGCTTAAATGTACAAACTATGGTAATAGTATGAGGCCAAAATTTGTTTTGCCCAAACATGCCTTGACTGGAATCAGTTGAGGATCAAATTGCATATTTATTTATGTAAATAGAGTAAATGAAAAGCAATTCAACAATGCCGTTGTTCAGGATCTACCCTTGCCTTATTTTTTCTAAGCTCTACTTAACTATTTTTAATAGTTTTGGGTTAATATGACTTTACTGGTTGTTCACGAAGTTCTTTTCAGTAGCACAGTACATCTATATAGAATGAAATCTAAACCAGTTGGAATGAGTTACCTTTTCCCCTGAAAAGGTGTAATTTCAATGTCCCATACTGTTTACTAGCAAAAAAAATTTTCTGATATGTAAAAATATGCATATAATGACAAAACCAGACCTCCAGTATAGCTAAATTTGCATACTTTCCATATAGAAATAGTATGTATTCTATGATGTTGGATCTAAATCTATATTTTGGCCGTACTTAAATATTCCAAAGTATTTTATAATGCACTTAATTACTGACCTGTGCGCAGTCATTTCTGAGGCTCCCTTTCTTGCATCATAAACCCTGTTATACTTCCTCTTAGAAATATTACACTCTACAAAATTGTTTTATCAAGGGTCCAGTATTACTATGTGCTCTGAGAGTACAAAGATGTCTTGACTGGCTACACAGGAAGGAAAATGAATTATGAAATGTCAGTATAGCAGCTGAAATAAACAGTAGTCTGCATTATAAATGTTTACCAAATGAAAAACATTTAAGACACAAATCTTTAAAGAACAATATATAATAATGTAAGCTATATCCTTTTAATTAGGAAAATAAGTTAACATTTAGTTTATTAACTTTTAAAGAGAGGCATATACCATTGTATATGGCACCAGATATACATTGTCAGATACCACATTAACACATAATACCAATGTTTTACTAAAATAATAGGCTCAAGAGTAACCCTCAAGTTAATTGCTTTACTTTCCCAGGCTCTGCATGCATAAAGAAATCATTGTGACAGAAAAATATCAACTACATACTAAAGCATAGCTTGCTAGAACAAATCCTGTATGTATGAATGCCAGCAACTAGGGACACATTTAGTCTTCATATTTTATGCAAACTTGTCAATTATTTCCTTTTTAAGCACAAGTTTATTTTGGAATTCAGATAAGAACTGACAGACTGTAGACAGTCACTGTACAAGGTAACCCAGTTATTTCAATTGCAAACATTAATAAACATGTTTTCTTCAAGACAGTTAGCACCTTCTAAGATTAATCTTAGTACCACCCTATGTAAAACCAAATTTTTTTTAAAAGCCTGAACAGGTTAACATAATAGCCAACTATGCTTTTCTCGGTTGAAGCTATTCCAAATCAGATCAAGAAAGGTGGATCTTAGTTTACTTCTGGAAATATAATTCACAAAATAAGACCCTTGTTCTAAAGAGGTCCTCTAAACTGGCTTTTATTCTGGCTTAGTTTCTAAAACCTCATTAAGAGGTAGGAGAGAAAATTAGTCTTACCAAAAATGCTCTGCTTTTCAGTAGCCATCAGTTTTAGGTCTTCTTTATGTAACTCAGAAGTTCATCTTTTTCCATTTGGTAACCACTTTTCTTCCACTGTTCTCGCAACTGTTGTAATAGAGCCCCAATTTCTTTTCCTGAAGAAATGCCCACTTTTCTGATGTCATGGCCACTTACAGGAAATGGAGGAATGGACCACTGCTGCATTTCCTTGAGGAGACAGTGCTCTCCTTGGTACTTCAGTAGTTCACATACACGAGTAGTTGCATCAGGTTCCCTAGACTAAATGTCAAAATCAAACATTTAGTTTCATCACACATGAAAACACACACTTAGGATCTTAACCTAAAAGTTAATACTACTCAACATAAATTTTTTCATTTAAAATAAAATTCACAGAATTGTAGATCTTAGTTTCAATATATAAATTCTAAATTAGTGAAGATACTTTTTATTTCTGACCAAGCCTACTATATACTTACATCTATAATGCAGTCTTGATAGGGTTTCAATGGCTCTGAAGTATCTGCTGCTTTAATTAAATCTTTCCTATTTTTAACTATAAACAAGCCAAGGTTTTTCTCTTCTTTTGCGATCTTCAACCTCAAATCCAATTTTGTGACATCATCTTGTACTTTGAATAATGAGGCCAAAAGAGTCATTGGCTTTGGTGAAAAACCTTCAACATTTTTACTGACTTTGTCAAATTCTTCTAAACTTGCATTAGCAGGTAAACCTGTAGGGACAAAAACATTTTTCACCTGTTTTTAGTGAGGGAAAAAACCACTCATAACCTAAACCTGGCCACTGTTTTAGTATACAGAAATGCCTTGTCACTAGAATAGGATACATTATATAAGTCCAGTCTGATGTTCCAACTTACAGGCAAACCACTAATACATTATTGCTATTCTCTCCCCTATCACCCTCAAAACCTCTAAAATGTTCTTGTTTCCAACAAGCTACATCAAGAGGTCCAGAGGTAGTGGTGATACTGGTATCAGACTCACAAGGCATACTCTTTGCAATCACAAATTCCTGACTTCCCATTGATACAACATCCACTTCCCATTCAATAATGTTGTTGAAATTTGAAATAATATACCCAAGTTTTCAGAAGTGTGAGAAACCACATAATCCCACTATTCTTTGTGAAAATGAATTATAACATTTACTGAAAAACTTCTATGTACAAGTCATTCTCCTAAAAGATCTTCACATATATTAACTTACTGAATCCTTTTAGCTTTTCTGTTAGATAGATGCTATATTATTTTTAAACCCCCTTTTAAGGTTAGAAACTAACCCAGGTTGTAAAGATTAGATAAGGGGCTTAGCTTCCTTCAAACCAGATCTGACTCGAGTACAAGCACCGCAGGCTGTCTTTGAGCTATTCCCTACTCATGACAAAACTTACCTATCCCATAACCCAAACTTTGTCTTATTTTAAAATACTCCATTTCTCCAACAAGAATTCTTCAACCAAATGAATCATTTTTTCCCTTATGAAATCTGAAACCAGATATTTCACTGCCAAAAATTCAAACACTTTAAAACTTGCTCTCACCTATATAAGAAGCCACATCAAGATCATAGATAAGGTGAATCAAATGATTTACATGGTTACCAACAAGAATTTTTTTTAGTTCCACCCAAATCCTCTCTCCTGAGATTCCAGCCAAGCCTTTTGCATTTTCTGCAATTGCTTCCAAAGTTTCAGGATCATGGTCACCAGGTTTGTCTACAATTCTCCCATAAAACCTAGAAGACAAAATCTTCACAAGGTATTACCTCTATACTGGCATGTCACAAGAAAAATCTTTTTCATTTTTATTTGGTACTATCGCATATATCTACTTAATGAAAATAACATGGAATTAGTTAGGTCTAGAAGGGACCTTAGAAAGCAGCTAGTCATTTCTCCACCTCCTTTTTTTTTCCATATAAGAAAACCCAAGATTGAATAAAATATAGCAACCTTCTTAAGGTTAGGAAGAACTAGAACCTCAGGGTCTCAACCTCACTTCCAAATCACTGACTCAGACGGTCAGAATAGTCATCAAATGCTGAATTGGCACTTATAAATGAAAACACCATTCTTGTAAAGGCAGCAAATCAAAACAAGACTGCAGTGCCTTAACAGTCTTAATTCCTCAAAACTTGCCTGTCTGTACACATTAATACTTTCAATGAAAATCTTCAAATATGATTAATCTAGTTGTACACACTAGAGTATATTTCATGGAATCTTAAAACTGGAAGCCCTAAAGTATATGTGTTGTACCACTCATATGCTTAAAATTCTAATGAATACCCTCTATTCATCAGTGGTCCAAAGTAATGCTAACTTTGGATTAGTGACCCAAATACAGCTAAGTCTTAATCTGTGTTCTATTATTTGTAACAGAGGCTAAAAATATTCAAGTTTATAGAAACTACATTTATTGATAAAATGTGTGATCTGTTAATAGAATATTCTGAGAGCAATCCCAATCAAGTGAAAAATGAGTATTACTAGACACAAACTAGCCAATTCAGTTTTTTAAAGAGGTTAGTGTGTGGCATGTAAAAATCTGCTACCCACAAAATTATTCATGCATTTTGTATTTACCAGGTTTATCTAAGTTTTGAGTATGTCTATACTTTGAATTTTTATTGACCATATAGCAGGTATTTCTTTTCACCAAAATCATTTTGTTGTGAAGCATCAGAGATTTTCACGACCACCTAAGACCATAAGCTGTATGAAGGCAAACACTTTCATTCATTCATTACCATGTTTAATGCACCTAGCACAGGGATTGACCTGTGCATTCAAACACCTGTGTAATTAATGGATCAATGGAGGAAATATCATTCATCACAAAGAAAAATGGGCATTTAAAAAAATGATATAAATCAGAATTATAGGAAAGATCACATAAAATGAAGTAAGTATATGTGTGTTCTGGGAATGAAAATAAAGTATGATGTATCTAAGTAATTTTCCTTCGTAAGTCATAGGTTGCTAGGTCTCCACTGGAGACAGACATTTGGGATGTCACCATTTTGTACATTGAACTGCTGTGTGTTTCATGTGACCAGTGTTAATGCTCTGGAGATGATATTAAAACTATCATTTTTTATTTTTAAAAATTCTTACCTGAAGTATCTTAAAATTCTAAGATAATCCTCTTGTATTCTCTGTTTAGCTTGTCCAACAAATCTAATTTTCTTATTTTTTAAATCTTCATAACCATTAAAGTAGTCAAATAAAGTGCCATCAAAACCTATTCATTAAAAAAGGGAGAAAAATTACTGTTGGCGAATTTGAAAACACAAGAAAATCAGCTAAAAACTATCACTAACAGTAAGAATTCAGCAAGGTGAAGAGTTATTAAAACACGTAAGTATTCATACATATCTACTAGCAAATCGAAGACAATAAAAGATTGTCTATTAGTCTGTTTAGTTGCATTTACAATTGCAACTAAAAAGATAATCCAATAATAAACTAAAACAGAAATATGCAGAACTTATATGAGGTGTAGTGGTGCCAACAAGACACCATACAAGCTGATTTTCACAACATGAGAAAATAATAGCCAAAATAAAATGGAAAAAATATATATAACGGGATTAACAGAAAAAACAAGAGGAAATTATTTTATAATCTTGGAACGGGAAAGATCTTTCAAACTCTACTTAGCAAGTAAACAGAAAACAAAACACAAAACAACAGGATTTTCAAATAAATAACTGAATGACAAAAAAAAAAATATGCCTGTATGGCAGAAACCACTGTCACACACAAAGTCCTAAGATAAGTGACATTTGAGGAAAAATATATCTAAGTCAATATTAAAAAATCAAATGGCTAATTTCCATAATATAAAGTTCTTATAAATAAAAAGGCCATGTAAATAGAAAAATAAGCTACATATAAAGGAAATACAGAAATCTCTTTAATAATGAAGATTTTCATCCTTAGTCATAAATCCTTTGCTTTTTTTTCCTTTGAGTTAGAATCTCACTTTGTTGCCCTGGTTGCAATGCAGTGGTGCAATCTCTGCTCACTGTAGCTTCCACCTCCCAGGTTCAGATGATACTCCTGCCTCAGCCTCCTACAAGTAGCTGAGATTATAGGCACCCACCACTACGCCTAGCTAATTTTTGTATTTTTAGTAGAGACAGGTTTTTGGCATGTTGACCAGGCTCATCTCGAATTCCTGACCTCAAGTGATAGGACCACCTCAGCCTCTCAAAGAGCTGGGATTACAGGCATGAGCCACCAAGCCTGGCCAGTAAATACAAATTTTTGAGATAGCATTTTTCAGATTGGCAATGATGCAAACATTTGATAACACTGTTAGCAAGGGTGTGGTAAAACAGGCAGTCCTGTTCATCATAGATCAGGAAACTTCACTTTAGAGCCTTTAAAACTTTGTGAATTTTGAACCATGTTGATCTATTAGCCATTCACAAAAATGGTAACAAGCAAATGTTCTCTCATATGTTGAACTAAAAAAGTGACATAAAGCTGATTTTATATATATGCACATAAAACCTTAAGTATTAATTAGCAGAGTGACCACTTCAAACTAGTTTGCCTGAGACTCCTAGTTTTAAAGTTGAAAAATCACACATCCAAGGAAGAATTTCAAGCTCAGGCAAAATAAGACAGTTGGTTATCATGGAGACTTAAAAAAAAAAAGTAATTTAGAACTGAAACACAGATACCATTTAGCTAACCAAATGGGGAAGTCAGTGATCCCTTTACTCCGTAGCATCACAGAAGAGGCATTGACAACTACTTGTCAAAAACACCTCATCAATTTAGTTCTGTTCGAACTTGAATGCTCTTTGATTATCCCCAAAGCAACAATATATTGGTAAGTTCACACTTAATGCTTAACTCTTCCCAAGCTGTTATAGTTTTATATGCATAGTAACTTTAAAAGGGAACCATCTTGATGTATATGGCAAATTTTGAGGGCTTCAGCTTCAAAAAGACATAAAAGAAAATGAAGATAAAAAGGAAATAAGTAAATAGACACAAATATGATCACAAAGTAGCAAATAATATAGTATATCCATCTCTTATAACTCTCCATGGGGAGCCTCAAGCAAAATCAAAATTTGGAGGAAAAAATCATAGGAATATGACCAAAGCAAAGTAACCAACCATAAATGCCAGAACTATAAATGCTTGATCCAATAAAGCTTGGACAAAGCCAGGAGAGAAAATTGCACAAAGCATGGTAAGCATCATATTGGTGTGCATTTTGTTTTGCTCTGAATATCATCCTTTTAAAATACAGTAAATAAAAATATGAAATACAGTTGTGTTGCAGGCAATAATGTAGTGGTTAAGAATGTGACCTCTGGAGTCAGGCTGTCTGAGTTGGAATTCTAATCCTATTATTTACAAGCTGTGCAACTTTGGGCAAGTTACCATTGGTTAAATGGAAGTATCTGCTTCATAGGGTTGTCAGGAGATTAAGATTAAATAATGTGCTTAGAACAGTGCCTGGCACGTTATAAGGGTTTAGAAAATGGTATTATCAATAAGAATAGCTTTTATAAACTATGACACTGAAAAAGAATATTAGTTTCTCTCTTTCAGTTAAGTATGCTTATGAGAAGCCAGTAAGACAAGATTCTCTGTACTGCACTATTTGGAGCAGTTTCCTCTATGAGTAATATGAGAAGAAATACATACCAGGAGCTCTGACTACATAACCGAGAGACAGTGCACTAGTTGGGCTCCCTATGGTCATAAATTGGCTTTGGAAACAAGCCAACATCATGGTTCTCTGTAACTTAAACTAAGTTACTTAATATCTCTGAGTCTCAAGTTACCTATTCTATCAAGTGGGCTTAATTGTTACTTTATGAAGTTTTCCTGACAGTTCAATGAAATAAAGTTTATCAGATACCTAAGGTTGTAACTAGAACCCAGTAGGTACCCTAGAAATTGTATTTGTCATTACTGTAATCAGCAAGAGATCCCAGTTTAGCTTATAAACTTCTTGCCCATTGATGCATGAAGTAAATCCTATTACTTTATCCTTTTACCACTACTGTTGCTACAAACTAGGTTATGAATAGTGGATGTTTCATCCTTTCTTTTTTAATCCAAAATCTTAAACATTAAAGGGCTTAAAGTACAACACATCAGTAACGTAACAAAACACTCACATAATTCATATCCACCCCCATATAATTCTCAGTGCTTTCATTAAACAAAAAAGATTAAACTGAAATAAATAGGTTTCCTCTTACATGCCAACTCTGACTGATTATTGATGATTCCTAGAATACAATGCTAAAAAAGAATCTGAGGTTGTGTGTAGGCAGAGCAGTAAAAAAGGTGGCGAAGTCATTCACCATTGTGTGTCCCGGCAGCAGAAGAAAGAATGAATACACATTCATGAACGATAGTGCAGAGGAAAAAGAATGATGCTGGGTGTGGGTGTGTGTGAAGTGTGTACATGCAGGCATGTGTGCATTTTTCTTCCCTGAAATGTTAATACTGCTTAGATCCAGTTAAGAAGTTAGCACTCACTGAATGTGTACATGTGTCAGGCACTGTTCTAAGCATTTATAATTATTAACTCTCTTAACCCTCACAAGAGCTGTAAAAGAAAGCCAATGTTAATTAACATTTTCATTTTATGGCTAGTGAGTGATGGAGTCAGAATTTGACCCTAGGGATTTTGGCTCCAGAGTCTATTCTTTTCAACAATGTGCTACACCCTCTCTTAGAAGACATTAATGCAACTTTTCAAGTTGAAGAACATTTCCAGAATGTAGGTTTTACTTGAAAATAAGGCATTTTGATAAACCCATTTAAAACATGGTTGACAAATATTACCTAAAAACATAGAATTTATAGTGAGATCTCTGCGTTCAGCATCTTTCTGCCAATCAGTTGTAAATTCTACCTCAGCATGTCTTCCATCTGTGGTGACATCAATCCGTAGTGTAGTAATCTCAAAATTTTCTTCATGAAGCTGCAATTAAATACATGGGATTTTTGTTGTTGTTTAAATTAGTTTTTCGTATTACTGAATTGAAAAAAAAAAGAAGTTTTTGTCTTTATAAAGGGATGGTACTGTAAGCTGTGACAGTTAGTCTTTTTAACATCAACTACCATACCTAAACATTGAAACAAAAATATCCACATTATTCAAAAACAGATCCAAAGAATGATTTTTTAAAAAATAGCCATCATGATTAAAAAATAGATGTTTAACACACAAACACGTCAGCTCTGCCAAGTGATGTGGAGAAACCCTCAAAACTGTTCTTCAATTTCAAATCAAACTATTATCTGAAATATTTTTAATAGCTCCAGTTTGCAAAGAGGTGAATGTTGCTTTATGGAATATGTGTCATTGAGCAAAAGACTGATAAAGGAAGAAGTACAGCTAACAGATCCTGCAAGTCCCCTACCAGTAATCTCCACTAAAATGAAAATAAAGGCCGGGGTAGTGGCTCATGCCTGTATTCCCACCACTTTGGGAGGTCAAGGCAGGCAGATCACTTGAGCTCAAGAGTTCAAGACCAGTCGGGGTAAGGGTGTGGTGGTGCACACTTGTCCCAGCTACCCAGGAGGCTGAGGTGGGAGGATCACTAGAACCTGCAAGGCAGAGGCTGCAGTGAAATGAGATCACACTGTGCCCTCCAGCCTGGGCAAAAGAGTGAGACCCTGTCTCAAAAAGAAAGAAATTAAAATAAAGAGTTACCTCTATCGTAGGAAGACAGACTACCTCCAGCTGGGGAAGCTAAGTAGCTTTATGATAGGGTGGTATCTGTGCCAAGGCTTGAAAATGCAGCAGGGTCTGTACACGCAGGTGTGATAAGAAAATTTCAGAAGAAGAGAAAAGATGACCACAGGCACCATGGACAAAGAGGAATATATGTAAAAGAGAAAGTACACCTGACAGACAGCATATTAGCATTTAGGAGTAGAGAGTATAGTGTTTGATGTGCCAAGCAGAAGTTAGGAATTTAGGAAGTAGCAGCCACTAATGATCACCAGCAGTCTTTTCTAGGATTTCTCTCAATTTCATACATACTCTTCTCTAGATAGAAGCTACATCTATCTCTCACTATAGAATTCCAGAACTCAAGAATTTGAGGCACTAGTATCTCTGAAGGCAAAGAATAAAATAAGGTTTGAAATAGGAAAACTTTTTGAAACTCATTATAAGAAATAATCAGACCCACCTAGAATGACTCCCTTAGAGACAGAAAACCAGTATTGACTCTCTTGAAAGGCTGAACCAAAAATAATCAGAACTTGTACCCGGCACAGATGTTCATGGAAATGAAGCATCAAGATTAAAGTGAAACCTAACATCACCCTCATGCCTTTCCCTACTTGGTTTCAAGATGCTAACAATCAGACTCCTTCCCTGGCATAATATGGAGTATTCTTCTCTGATTTCTCCTAATGAAAACTCCTACTGAGACTTACATTGGAAGTCCCAATTGGCTGACACGTCCCATGCAAAATTATAAAAAAGTCCTCAATTATAGAGCATCACCCAAATAAAACATAAAGGCACAGCCAAAGAATACCCACATTTAAGGAAAGCCAACATGAAAGAAAAAGCTCGGAGGAAACAAAGACATTGTCAAAATAACTACATTAGATATCCTAAGAGAAATAAAAGATCTTGCATCTGAAACATGAACAGGAAGCTTTCCAAAGAAATATACTAAGACAGATCTCTTGAAACTCTACAAGATCACAGAAGTTGCCAATATCATACAATGATTGGGAGATGAAGTTAAGGCACTCTCATAGAAAGTAAAAGACAGGAGAATATTTAGAAAAAAAAAAAAAAAAAAAAAAGGCAAAAGATAAAATTAGGTCATTCCCAGCAGTCCAGCATCCAAATAATAGAGTTTCCAAAGGAGGAAACATTTAACAAGGGATGAAATTATGAAAGAAACATAAGAGGACACTAAGTGCCTTGCACAGTAAGTGAAAAACCCAAAACAAGTTATATCATCTTGAAATTAAAAACCTTACACATAAAAAGATCAGAAAGACTTCCAAAAGGAAATAATGATAATCAGCTTTTAAACAAAAGAGAAATCTAAATGGAACTAGACTTAGTGGCTGTACTTGAAGCTAGAGAACAATGCCTTTAAATTCTGGGTAAAAATATTCCCAGCCTAGAATTATATAATCAAAACTATCAAACCAGTGTGGAGGTAAAATAAAAATATTTTCAGATGTGTAGGGCTTCCTCAGGTTTTGGATTATTAAAATGACAGCTTAAACCAAGAAAGAACAGCACATGGGACCCAGGAAACAGGAGGTCTAAATAAAAAGAGAGGCCAAGGACATCCCTAAAAGTATATACTGGAGCAGGAAGACAGCACCAGGTAAGATGTCTCCCAAAAACCCAACTGAAACTTGATGTGATATGTTTTAAATCTTTTGAGAGGAACTCTACAGCTCTGGCACAGAGCGCAGGAATAAATTAGTGGTACATGGAAAGCTATGTAAAAGAAAAATGCTATTAACTGCAGGAAAATTAAAAACATGCCAACAGAAGAAATGTAATCATAATTTACTTCACAATCTGGCTGTAAACAATACAGACTCATAAATGTAAACCCTGAATATTGACTTGACCAAAAATTATTATATAAATATACTAGGAATATGGGAGAAGGAGAATTTTATGTGCCTGTTGTTGAGAAGGGTGTGGTAAGAAACCTAAATCATCTTCCTTCATGGGAAGTCAATACATAACACATCTTAAAACTGGGATAGTAAAAGTAAATAGTGTAGCATACAAAGTCTTTTTAGAAATAGAGAGGTAACATAAAAATTAAACACGGCTGCAAGAACAGAGGATTGCAGGTTTTAAGACGGGGTAGAGGAGACTAATGTTTTTTATTAGAGTTTTTGTTATTTGCTTTTAACTAGAGAAAATTATTAAATTTTTTTAAATTACCAAAAAAGCAATGTAATTAACTGTCAAACTTTTCACTCACCCTGGCAGTAATTGTTCCGTGCTTTTCTCCTCTGTTGTTTATCATCCGAATCCCAGCCGATTGAAACATCTCCTTCATTTGAATAGGGGTAGCAGTGGTGGCAAAATCTACATCCTGAGGCTTTACTCCATTTAATAAATCCCTCACTGCTCCTCCTGCTATTCTTAATTCATGATTCTCTTTGACAAATAATTCTGAAATGAGAGAAAAAAGATCTTTATTCCAATGTTTCTTTTAAGAACCACAAAAGTACAAGGCTTTTCCGCCTAGTTGGAACAGCAGACTCAATTAACTGAGGTTTTTCATATGAAAAATGAGGCCCAAAGAAGTAAAAAGACTTGCTTATAGGAGAATGTCTCTGAGGACCAAAGGAAACAACGAAATTACAGAGTTTTTCTTTGCTTATTCAGAAGATAATTCAGAATTACAAGATGCCTCAAAGTGATCAATATAAATTTGAACTACTACTAAAGCCTAAAGCAGGCCAGGTGCACTGGCTCACAATACTTTGGGAGGCTGAGGCGAAAGGACCACTTGAGCCCAGGAGTTCAAGACCAGCCTGAGCAAACATCAAGACCCTGTCTCTACAAAAAATAAGAAGAGCCAGGTTCAGTGGTACACTCTAGTAGCAGCAGTCCCAGCTACTTGGGAGGCTAAAGTGGGAGCATGGCTTGAGCCCAGGAGTTCAAGACTGCAGAAAGCTAAGATCGTGCCACTGTACTCCTGCCTGGGTGACAGAGCAAGACCTTAACTCAAAAAAAAAAAAAAAAAAAAAGGTAAATCAAACAATTCTGCTTTTTTCCCCCCTGTTATGTGCATATTTTAGAAACAGTAACAATGTTCTTGTATTTCTCTGTGCAAAGATAGATGTTGAGGCAGAATATTCATGCATGAAACTATGAAACTATCAGACAACATGAGTCTATCATACCACTTACGATAAATGTTTATAGCTAAGCATCCTTTGAGAAATGATTCTAAAATCAACTTCTATCTGTGCTCTAGGTAGAACCATTTGAACACTGGAACGACTGACTATAAGCAACTACATAGCTGACTCCTCTATGTGTAAAGTATAAGACAAAGTCCACTATGAGTATATCCATATGCCCAAAGGACACCATATGCAACCTAGTGAGAATGACATCCAGGAGCTGACCTGCCACAAAACTAGACCCTGGGGTTCTGTGGAACAGAAACAATTCCACAGAAAATCAGTATCAGACAAGCCCATTCTGTGACCATGACGGCTCATCAAGACAACTCTGTAATCACCTAAACATACACAATACATGAACACTGTCCATGATACACCCTACAATAGTTGATAAGAGTGATTCTGTCTTACCAATTAGTTTTAGGCTCAACTTCTAGGAAAGCGTCATTAAGACCACCCAATCACAGAATTACTTCTGCTTCCTGAGAGCATCTAACCCACTGCAAAGCTCTACTACCTTAAACCCTCTCCAAAATGACCCAATACAAGCCCAACTCCTATAAGATACCTTTCTACAGTCCTCTTACTGAGTATACATATGCTGCTCCTCACTCAGCATGTTGCTCCTCACTGGATCCAGAGTCAGCACACTACTCCTCACTCAGCATGTTGCTCCTCACTGCCAGGACTAACAACCCAACTTGTGTCCCTGTTGGCCTTTGGCTAGAGGACAGTGACATGAGCATTCAGCTAAATTCATCATACATCAGAATTCTGGCACCCCTAATCACAACTAAAAACATAATCCTCCATCTCTACCTCAACGTCTCTGTTCTGCCCACACTCCTCTTCTACCTATTCTTCCCAAATCTTTCAGTCTCACTCTCTGTAGACTCCTTAAAATGCTTAAAAATTACAAATGCTCCCTCTCTCTACCCTCTGGCCTTAATTAAGGATATCTTTTCCACAACTCTCCCCAAGGCAAAGTGTTCACATTCCCTTAATGCCACATTTTCCATCAAGGCTCATTTCCAGGATCATATCACCTCCCCTAAATCCAGCCTCCACCATCCAGACTTAGGGATCTAAAACATGAGGTTAATTGTGCTATGCATTAACTGCTAACAACTACTCACAACACAGTACCCAAACTCCTCAGTGCTATATCCAAAGGCTCCCATAACATATTTGTCTCATCTCTTGCTAAACCTTGGCTCACACTTAGTTTGCACCAAACTGTCCCTGTAGCTTTCCTCCATAATTATGCTTGTGTGAGTAACTTTAGTGAAACACCTCCCTAACTTACTCATCTAATTCAGTGGCTGGCTGTGACACTTCTTGGCTCATAACCCACACTAAACATTCACATAGCAGTCACTGAAACTTGTATGTCTACCATGCAATCTGTTCTATTCTCTCGTCTCTTTTTTTTTAAATACTCGTCATGACCACTAAATTGACTTTATGGCCCACTAAGGGGTAACTACCCAGCTGGAAAACACTGATCTAGCTCACTCTTACTTATCTGCTGTGATTCACTTTAAGAAGCCTCTCCTGAAGGTGCGGTTAAGTGAATTCCTTCTAAGCTACTAGTATAGCATATCTTTATACATACCAATTATATTAAAATTACCTGTTTTATGTCTTTGTCTCCCCCACTTGTCAAGGGGAGACTATCTTATTCATCATTATACCAATTTGGCTCATAATTAAACTGAATTGTGATACTACAGCTATTAAAAAAAAAAAAAGAATGACTAGACTGGAAAGTATTGGTTTTTTTTTTAAGTTTTCTTCCTTCAGATTAAAACAGTATCAAGTAGCTGTTCTGAAATTCAAGCAAATAAAGGGCAAGTTTTATGTTCATTTGAACCTACTTTAAATAGGATGAAGAAGGTCAAGGCTGAATTTATATAGATAACTACTGCTTTAAGATTCTACTGCTGGCTTTACTAAAATAAAATGCCAAGTTCAAAGTTACTTGGTAAGTTAATTGCATTACAAAGAGATCCAGAACTCCAAGTAATATATTCACCATTTTGATTAGCCTTATTTTATTAAACCACTCTGAAAAACTTAGCATTCAGGATTTTTAAAATAACATTTAATACAACTGAGAAAGACATATCAAGGCATATTTATCTGTCTATATGAAAGAGTAGTCATAAAAATTATAAGAAAAGCAAAATTTCACATTGGCCTAAAACAGCAGGTACTATGAAGCTTAAAGATTTCTTTATTCCTGTTACTGATATCTTCAGTCTTACAGAAATAGGAATGCAGTCAACATTTCAAAAGATTATGCAAGATACATTCACTGAAATAATTCAGTGAAAATAACACCTAAGGCAACTAAATTTAACTGTAAACTCAAGCCTAAAAGTCAAGAAATGCAGAATCTCATCATTCCCAAACTGTTTATTTGCTCCAAATGCCACATCTGATAGTAAACAATTGTTATTCTTCTTAGCAATTCAAAAGACCATATATTGATGTGTCAGAAAACTTTTATAATTGTCACCTCTTTTTAAATGTTAACTTTAAATTTTCATGAACTTATTCCCTTTACAACTCTGAATTTTGACGACTGGATGCTAGGGTGGGGCAGGGGGCAGTGAGTGGGAGCTATGAATGGGAAGTCATGGCATGACCATTACTACAGGAAAACAGACTGTTTTAAGAGCTCCAGACTTCAAGAGAGTGATCAGTTGTTTCTATTACACTAAACTTTAATATGATGGCTTTCTGACATAACACTGACTGTCCATCACGCATTATGGACAACAGCCAAGGGACCAAAGAAGTCCCTGCTCATCTACCAGTGCTATTAATTCAAGCAAAAATCATCTACATTGGGAACTTCAGCCTCATCTCTAGGACAAAAAAAATATTATTTTTTGAGAGAGGGTCTCACTCTGTCATCCAGGCTGGAGTACAGTGACGACATCACAGCTCACTGTGCAGTCTTGACCCCGAGTCCAAGGAACCCCCTGCGTCAGCCTCCTGAGTAGCTGGGACTACAGGTGTGCATCACCATAACTGGGTAAATTGTTTATTATTATTATTATTATTATTTGTAGAGACGGGATCTCACTATGTTGCTCAGGCTGGTCTCTAATTCCTGGCCTCAAGCAATTTTCCACCTTGGCCTCCCAAAGTGCTGGAATTTTAGGTACGAGCTACCACAGCCAGCTGAGAAATAATCGTATATGCCACTAGTATACGATCGTACTGAAGCAAAAAGATAAATAAAATAACCTGGCAAATTATAAAACCCTTATGATATGACAACAATACACTATTCTGGTCTCTCATATTCTTGCAAACTGAAAACTAATTTTACACATGGCAAAGCAGCTATTAAGATTTGAGAATTGCTACAGTAAGATTTAAACTCCAAGTATCACTATATAGCAGCCATCACAAAGGCTGTGTGTTTTTGTACATTTTGTTTTTATACAGAACATTACATTTTACCAGGGCACCCAAGTCTCTGACATTCTAACTTGTTGATCATTGCACTAAAAGATTCCATTCTTGCCACTTCTCCAGTAGCCTAGAAAAAGTCAACTTTAGAATATATCCATGTTCTCATTTGCCAGGCCTGCCTTGAAGGACAGGACTCTGGAAGCAACACTACCTCTTACCTTACCATACCATTTACTCTGTAACTTCCTTAGGATCTCATTTCTCAGGGTGGAGAAAATCCAGTTATTTCTAATCCAGGATTAAAAAGTTAAACACAATTGTTAAAATGATGTTCAAGAAACTATAGTAATCAACATCTACAACCTTATTTCCAAAAAATGCTTTTCTTTTCTTTCTTCTAAGAGGCCTCTTGCAACTGAAGTTGAAAAACTTGGGGTGGTGAATGGCATACACAGAAAGAAAAAACCTCTAACTCAATCCAAGATCAGAGCTTCAAAACCTGCACTATTCAAACAGTAGCCACTTGTGCTTACTGAGCACTTCAAGTGTGGTAAGTCTGAATTCAAATGTGCTTGCTGTATGTGTTAAATGCACACAGATTTCAAAGACTTCCAAATATGAAATATCTCATTAATAATTTTTTTTTTGAGACACAGTTTGTGTCACCCAGGCTGGAGTGCAGTAGCATGATCTCAGCTCACTGCAACCCCCACCTCCCAGGCTCAAGTGATCCTCCCACCTCAGCCTCCCGAGCAGCAGGGACTACAGACACATACCACTATGCCTGCCTATTTTTTGAATTTTTAGTAGAGATGGGGTTTCACTGTGTTGCCCAGGCTAAGGCTCAAGCAATCCACCCACCTCAGCCACTCAAAATGCTGGAATCACAGGCCTGAGTCACTGCAACCAGCCTCCCAAAGTGCTAGGATTACAGGTGGGAGCCACTGTGCCTGGCCTCATTAACAATTTTTATGCAAAGTTCATACTGATAGTATCTTAGATATATTGGATTAAATTAGATGTACTAAAAATAATTATTAAAATTTATCTCACCATTTCTTTTTATCTTTTTAATGTGGTTAGTAGAAAAGTTTATATTACATATGGGCTCATAAATTTCTATTGAACAGTGAGTTTTTAGCAATTTTCACTCTTACCAATTAAAAAAGAGTGCAGCATCAGCATAACCAAACCTGCATTTAAGCCCTCTACTTAAAGTCTACCTAAAAGAATCAACATGTTCTAGGCCATTTATCTCTGGCATGTACCTAAAAAGCCATCATCTAATTTCAAGAATGGGAAAGTACCCTTGGGAATGAGCTAATACAAGGTGAGTCATATTAAAGTAATGATTCTTCTATCTTCTGTGCATCAGAATTAACCTGTGGAGTTTTTATTAAAAATATAGATGGTCATCCCATCCAGAGATTCCAATTCAGTAGGCTGCAGGCAGAACCCCAGCATGTGTGTATGTTTTAAAAGCTCTCCAGTTGAATCTAATAGACAGCCAGTGCTGTTTAGGTCATATTTCTACATATAATACATAATATATTTAGGAAAGCGCTACTAAAATTCCCACAGGCTTTGTAATGCTATTCTGCCGCTGCTTTCGCAACATCAGATAACATTAAGGACCAATACTGATAAAACTGGCAACAGCAAGAAGCTAATGGAGTCAAGCACTCAGCTAAAGCCATTTCCTGTGCTCCTTCCAGACAGTTTTTGCAAAGTGCACAATTGACATAACTCCTATATCCTTCTTCCTTCAGTTCTCATGGAAAGCATTTATACTTAGAAAGGAAACAGAGCTTAGTGGTTATAAGCTAGACTCTGAAATCAGACTGCAGAAGTTTGAACCCCAACTCTCTTGTTATTAGTTACAGAAACATAAGCAAAGCACTTCACATGCCTAAGAATTTTTCCTTTTCCACCTAACAAGTCAAAATATACCTACTCATTAAGTTAGTAGGACCACTCCTGTAATGTATGGAAAGTACTTAGCATACAGAAAAGCCAAGCTTTTTATTGCAGTCAACTTCTTGCCTTTTCCAGTGATTTAGCTATATTTGTGGATCACCCATATGTAAGCCTTTCATTTTTCTTTTAATATTTCTTTGCTTTACTTTTGAGACAGGGTCTCACTCTGCTGCCTACGACAGAGTGGCATGATCATAGATCACTGCAGCCTCAAACTCCAGGGCTCAAGTAATCCTCCCACCTTGGCCTCCCTAAGAGATTACAGGCTGGGTACACCCAGACAAGCCTTCCTTCCAACAATGAAAACATGTAGGCTGGGCACCATGGCTCACACCTGGTAGTAATCCCAGCACTCTGGGAGGCCAAGGATTGAGCCCAGGAGTTTCAGACCAGCCTGGGCAACACAGTGAGACTCTCTACTTGATTTTTTCTTTTTAATAAAAATAATTAAAACAACAATGAAAATATCCAAATGCTGGCTAAAAAAGTTAACCCTCTGCCGTGCACAGTGGCTCACACTTGTAATCCCAGCACTTTGGGAGGCTGAGGCAGGTGGATCAGGAGATCCAGACCATCCTGGCTAACACAGTAAAACCTCCTCTCTACTGAAAATACAAACAATTAGCCAGGCATGGTGGCATGCACCTGTAGTCCCAGCTACTCAGGAGGCTGAGGGAAGGAACAGAATCACTTGAACCTGAGAGGCAGAGGTTGCAGTGAGCCGAGATTGCACCACTATACTCCAGCCTGGGTGACAGAGCTAGACTCCATCTCCGAGGAAAAAAAAAAAAAACACGTTAATCCTCTATTTGTCCATGTATACGGGTTTCCAAATCAAGTAAAGGCATCCTAATCTCTCACCTGTCAGACTCTTCAATCCTTCTGTGAAAAGTGACTGGAATTCTGGAGACTGCAACTTCATTGTAAATAGATACTGCTTCAGAAGGCACAGCCTACTCCACCTACAGCTCAGTACTGGCTTGTGCCAATGATACAAGCACCTCAGCATCTGGAGAGACAGTCACCAACTATACATCTACAAGGCAAACACAAAGACACACCAATGAAATTTCAAAGTGAAGGAAAATAAAAGGACACACTGCAACTTTACAACTCAGAAATTCACCTCTTGCTCAGATGAAAAACTAAAAACAGTGCCAGTCTGAGGGATCATTAAGACTAGATCTATGTATCTACCTGGTTTTGTTCTCTAGAAGCACTTACTGTGGCAGGCCAGGTCTCACTACAGCAGGCCTCAATCACAACTGTTTCAGTACTGACTGAGTAGCTGAGTAAATTAAAAGCTGAAAGAGCCAGTCAGTTCCCTTAAACAAAGGCTGGAAGGTAACAAAACCCAATCAAGAGTTTTGCCTAAGCCTTTCCTGAGCCTTGAAGCATGATAACCAAGGAATTCTTTTTTTTTTTTTTTTTTTTGAGACGGAGTCTGGCTCTGTCACCCAGACTGGACTGCAGTGGCACGATCTCGGCTCACTGCAACCTCCACCTCCAGTGTTCAAGCTATTCTCCTGCCTCAGCCTCCCCAGTAGTTGGGATTACAGGCACAGGCCACCACACTTGGCTAATTTTTTATACTTTTTTGGTAGAGACCGGGTTTCCCCATGCTGGCCAGGCTGATCTGTATCCCCTGACCTCAAGTGATCTGCCTGCCTCAGCCTCCCAAAGTGCTGAGATTACAGGTGTGAACCACGGCCCCTGGCCACAAAGGAACTCTTAACAGGACCCGATTCGTATTAAACAAGTTTCACTGGGGGCTTGAGGAAACTCTCCAGGCCTCCACAAACAAGTTTACTGGGTGTCTGAAGGAACTCCCCAAACCTTCACGTTCAGCAGGAGAGAAGATAAGCGTAATCACCCAAGCACCTGGACCCATTTCGATTAAGTAAATTTACTGAGGCTCCAGAGAAAGGTCTTCAGGATTCAGATCTTAGTTACAAATCTAAAGTGAATCACTTAAGTGTCTAGATGAAAGCACAGTTACATGTAAACGTATAGCTTAGAAGGTATATAGGCTCTGGAAAACTTTTTAATTGATCTAGTCTGGTGATATTTTCCAGGCCTTCTCCCTGTACACAGTTACAGAAATAAACTCCCTTCTTTTCCAGTTTATCTGCATCTAGTTATTGGGCGGTGAGAATAAGCAGCCCGACCCTTGGTTTGGTGGTTTGGTCCAGGAGCACTTCACTCGCAAGCCACAGTACTGTGATGACACTATCCCCAGAGCAGGGCTTCAGTGTGTGAGGGGTGCGGGGTTCTACAAACTCTATCCAGTAGACCAGCAACACCTGGTCTGCAGAACTTGTCAGTCACAGTATCACCCTACTTCCGCACTTGCACTCGAGAATTCGTAACTCTGGGATAGCTCCTAGGAAGTGTATTTTGATGAATGAATTAGCTTAACTGCCCCCATTTTCCTCATTCTTTTCCTGCCATCTTGCAATCTCAGATTTCCAGCACACCCCTGCCTTCCCTTCTCCATAAAACACTATCGTTCTCCCCTTACGGGGAGGCGGCAGCAGCTCTCGAGAAACCCCAGTGTAAACTTCCAAAGAAAAACCATTCTATTCCGCGGAAACGGGATGGAGGTGCGGCGCTTCCCAGCAGGCCAAGTGGGATAGAAAGACCGACTCAGTTTCCTTGCACCTCAGCCTCAACTTAGGAAAACGCGCTGGGAACCCTGGCCCTGAAAAGGAGCGTCCGGCCCCCAAAGCCGGGTGCTGGCGACACGGCCCAGTGAGAAAGCGCCTCAGGGCCGTCCGCGCTGAGGAGAAAATGCTGAAGGAAACCAGGGAATCCGCGCCTGCGGTCGGCAGAGACAGAACCTCCGTGTCAAGGCTCTTTTGCCCAGTGCTGAGGCGGCCTCTCGCCACGTCCCGCTCCCGCCTTCCTCGAGGTCCCGAGGCGCGGCACACCCGGCCGGCAGCGAGAGAGAATGCTTGGTGCGACCGCTCGCGCCACCGACGCTGCCCTTCCGAGCGCCGCACGCTGCTTACCGACCCCGTTGCCGCCGCCGCCGTTGCCACCACGCGCACTTCCGGGACGGTGAACGCGGTGACGTCACCGAGGCACGTCGGTTGGAAGCGAATAGGAAATCGCAGCAGTCCGGGCGGGGCGAGGGCGGTCCGAAGGGCTTCACGTTCCCCTCGCCCTTCTCCATCAGGCGGCGAAGCTCGGAACCGGTTTTCTCTGCCCCGCCGAGGCAGACCTGGGCGGAGCGGAGCCTTTGGGGACCGGGAGGAAACCGGCGCGCGTTTGTTTAATCACTCACCTCTCACCGCACCTCTGGTTGGCCCTGAGCTAGACAGACGCCCGTCTGCATGGCACGCCTGTGCCTTCTGGAACAACTGGCAGCTAGCTGTCTTCCTTTGCTCTAAAAAGAGACTGTTAACAAAACCTTCCCCAGGGCGTTGCCAGGCGTAAATGTCGGGTTCCTCCCCGGAACCGACGGAGTTCGGCAAAAGTTAACTTACTCTTGCTTGACTATTCTGTACTCTAATCTGTGCATAGGGTTAAATCCACGGTTGACAGTTACACGCATTCTAAATGTAAGCCCTCTGGTCCTATGAAAATTTTATTTTCTTACCTGGTTTGTGTAACCATTGGCCTCCTTGGCCTGGAGGCTTTGCAGCTGTAAAGTGGAGAACTTAGATTTGATTCAGTTCATTAATTTTTTTTCTAGAGCAGAGAAGAGCAAAGAGAGTGGCAAAGGAGTGGGAATACAGCCGTTGAGCCCTTAAAGTGCAAAAGAAAATGTGTAGTCTTTTAAGTGTAACTATACATCACTTAGCTTTCCCCAAAATTTTCCTAGAAAAATGCATGTGCCTGGTATTTCTGTTCTTTTGCCCTCCCCACAACCTACCTGTTCTTCCCAAACTTTTCAGCCCCACTCTCTGTAGACACCCTATAATGTAAAAAGTAAAATGTCCAATTACCACAGCTTTTCAGGGTGTGAAGTATCCCGTTTTTAGAAGCACAGGACTGGCTTTCCAAATTGACATTCAGAGATTTAATCCAGTGGCTTAACAGAGCAAGGAAAGCCCCAAATCACCCTTTCAGTCTTACCTCCTATTTCTCACCACCATGACTCTAGACAAACTGGACCAAAGCTTTCGTTGCTGTACCCAACTAGAATAGATTCTCCAAGTCACCACCTATGAGGCAAAGCTAATTACAACTGTTATGATAACTTATTTCGTGCCAGTTACTGTGCTGGACGCCCTCAAATAACCAATTTCTGTCCATGTAAATGTATAGTTTGTGTATACACGTGTATACACAGTTGTCCTTCCGTATCTGTGGGGGATTGGTTTCAGAAAGCCACCCCAACCAATGTTCAAGTTCTTTATATAAAATGGCGTAGTATTTGCATATAGCCTATCCACATTCACTAGTATACTTTAAATCATTTCTAGATTACTTACAATACCTTGATATAATGTAAATGCTATGTAAACAGTCGTTATGCTATATTGCTTCTTTGTATTTTTAAATTGCTATTTATTTATTTATTTTTGATATGGAGTTTCATCACTCTGTCGTCTCTACTGGAGTGCAGTGGCACCATCTGGGCTCACTGCAACCTCTGCCTCAGCCTTTCAAGTAGCTGGGATTACAGGCACCTGCCACCACGCCTAGCTAATCTTTGTATTTTTAGTAGAGATGGGGTTTCACTGTGTTGGCCAGGCTAATCTCAAACTGCTGACCTCAGGTCCACCCACCTTTGCTTCCCAAAGTGCTAGGATTACAGACGTGAGCCACAGTGCCCAGTCTTACTTAATATTTTTGATCTGTGGTGGTTGAATCCACTGATGCAAAACCCATGGCTATGGAAAGTCAACTGGAGAGAGGGAGAGAATTCCTACTATACTGGCTAAGAAAATGAAATAAAAACAGGTATATTACTACAGATCCTATAGACATTAGTAGAAGACATCATGAATAATTTCATGCCAATTAATTTGACAATGTAGATGAAATACATTCATTCTATAAAAAAGACAATTTGTCATAACTGAAATAGGGTAAAATTTTAAAATCTGAATAGCTCCTCATTTTGAAAGAAATTGAATGTTGTTCAACAGACTTCCCACAAAAGTAATTCCAGGCCCAGGTGGTTTCAATGGTCAAATTTATCAAACACATAAGGAAGAATGAACTCCAATCTTGTGCAAAATTTGTTCAAAAAATGGAGGAGGAAAAGCTTTCCCCTTATTCTGAGGCCAATGTAACTCAAATAACATAACATCAACACTACAAAAACATTAATGTACAGCTTAATAGACTACATGAACATAGAAACAAAAAAACTTTAATAAAATGTCAGCAAATTGAATCTATCAGTATATAGAAAGATAATACATCATGATCGATTTGGGTTTATCCCAAATGCAAGGAATGCCGCGAATTTAATGATCTAAAAACCAATCAATGTAATTCACCATATTAACAGGCTGAAAAAGAAAAACTGCCATCATCCCAATAAATGGAGAAAGACCACTTAAAATTCAATACCTACTCATAAAAAATGCCCAAAAAAATCTAGAAGAGACTTCCTCAATATGGTAAAGGGCATCCATGAAAATTCTATAGCCAATATCAGACGTTATGTTAATATATTGATACCCTCATATCAAGAACAAGGCAAGGATGCCCCATCTTACCACTTATTTTTAACATTTGTCTATAGTGTATAAACATTATTAAAGCAAGAAAAAAGATATGGAAAGTGTAACAATTCAGAAGGAAGTAAAATTGTCCCTATTTTCAGATGGTATGATGGTGGTTTACACATAATTGACAAAACTACCAGAACTAACAAATTTAGGAAGGTCTCAGGATACCAGGTTAATATACATAAATCAATTCTATTTTTATATACTAGCAGCAAAAATGTAGTATGTAAAAGTATATCTCATATTTGAAGAAGTGCAATAAGAGAAGCTATATAGTTAGCAACCAAACGTATGTAAAGATATACAGCATCATCAATCACTAAGAGGCCAGATATGGTAGCTCTTGCCTGTAATCCCAACACTTTGGGAGGTTAAAGTGGAAGGATTGCTTGAGCCCAGGTGTTTGAGATTGGCCTGGGAAATATGGTGAGATCCCTTCTCTGTAATGTTTTTTTTTTTAGTAGCCAGTGTTGGTGTTGTGTGCCTGTATTCCCAGTTACTCAGGAGGCTGAGGTGGGAAAAACATTTTGATCCCAGGAAGTCCAGGCTGTATTGAACTATGATTGCACCACTACATTCCAGCCTAGACAACACAGTGAGACCTTGTCTAAAATAAAATAAAATACAGGTGGGCGTGGTGGCTCAAGCCTATAATCCCAGCACTTTGGGAGGCCGAGGCGGGTAGATAATGAGGTCAAGAGATCGAGACCATCCTGGTCTACATGGTGAAACCCCATCTCTACTAAAAATACAAAAAATTAGCTGGGCATGGTGGTGCATGCCTGTAATCCCAGCTACTCGGGAGGCTGAGGCAGGAGAATTGCCTGAACCTAGGAGGCGGAGGTTGCGGTGAGCCGAGATCACGCCATTGCACTCCAGCCTGGGTAACAGGAGCAAAACTTCGTCTCAAAAAAAAAAAAAAATATATATATATATAGTAAAATCCCTAGTGAAATACAAACCACACAACTTTTTTTTGTGAGAGGGAGTCTCACTCTGTCACCCAGGCTGGAGTGCCATAGTGTGGTCTCTGCTCACTGCAACTTCTGCCTCCCAGGTTCAAGTCATTCTCCTGCCTCAGCCTCCCAAGTAGCCAGGATTACAGGCACGTGCCACCACACTTGGCTAATTTTTGTATTTTTAGTAGAGACGAGGTTTCACTGTGTTGGCCAGGCTGGCCTCCAAGTCTTGACCTGGTGATCCACCCACCTCGGCCCCCCAAAGTGCTGGGATTACAGGCATGAACTACTGCAGCTATCCAATACTGAGATACCTTTACATACCCATTAGAATGTCTAAAATTGAAACACCTGGAAATATCAAGTGCTGATGAGGAGGAAGAGCAACTGAAACTCTCATACACTGTGGGTGGCAAAACAAACTGGTACAGCCAGTTTGGTAAACAGTTTACTGGTGTTTGATAAAACTAGATATATATTTACCTTATTGCCCAGCAATACTACCCCTGGATACTTACCTGAGAGAAATAAAAACTTATGTTCACACTAAAAAGTGTATGTGAATGGTGTGCTCACTTTATTTATAATTATTCCAAACTAAACCCAGATTTCTTTCAGCAGGTGAATGGATAAGCAACCTGGAGTATATCCATACAATAAAATACTACTGAACAAGATGAAAGAACAAACTGCTGATACACACAGCAGCACATCTGACTCTCAAGTGAAGAAAGCCACATTCAAGAGACTGCATGTAATAGACTAAATTCATATGACATCCAGAAAAGGCAAAACTGTAGAGACAAAATACAAATCACTTCTTGCCAGGGGCTCAAGATGGGACGAGGTATTTACTATAAAAGTGCTTGAGAAAATTCTGACAGGAGAAAAAGGTGATAGAATTGTTCTATGTTTTGATTATGGTGGTGATTAAGTAACTGTGTGTTTGCCATAATGCATAGAACAGTATTGTTTTAGCCCATTCACACTGCTATAAAGCAACACTTGAGACTGTGCAATTTATAAAGAAAAGAGGCTGTATAAGAAGCATGGCTGGAGATGCCTCAGGAAACTTACAGTCATGGTGGAAGGCGAAGGGGAAGTAAGCTCCTCTTACACAGCCAGAGCAGGGAAAAGTGGTGATGGGGAGGTACTAAACACTTTTAAACTACCAGATCTCACTACAACTTACTCACTCTCAGGAGAACAACACTAATGGGGAAATCTACCCCAATGATCCAGTCACTTCCCACCAGGCCCCACCTCCAATATTGGAGATTACCATTTGATGAGAGATTTGAATGAAAACACAGACCCAAACCATACCAGTGCATTAAAAAGATAAACGTTCCTGCTTGTAAATTATAGCTCAATAAACCTCCCCCCCAAAAGCA